GGCATGCGACAATGCGATATGTGCAACAAACGTCTTCCCAAATTCGTAATGAGAATCATTTGTCAACAAAAAGAAGCATTGAGGTCTTCCTGCGCGTTTCCGCCAAAATAAAAGCTGAGAAAAAGCAAGAACTCTATCAACATTCATAGATGTTAGTATTTTAATTTTACTTTTGTTTTGTAAAATAAAATAAAAAGTAAGACAATAATAATGATAATAATCATTACAACAGCTCTGTTTTAATACATTTATTATAACATTCACACATAGTGTTCAAATTAGGATCTGTAATATTTTCTAATGTTTTAAAAGAAGTCTCTTCTCAGCAAGGCTGCTTTTAATTGTACAGTAAAAAAACAAAACAAAAAAAACATGCCTGATTCAAGAAGGGGGTCTGATGGCCAAAAATTATTATTGTACTAACTTATTCATTTTAAGTTAAATTGTGCTTTGTTGGTATAGTGTCTGCTAGAATGTTAAAAATGTTCAGTGTTAAATATTTTTAAATTGTTTTGTAATTGATTTGTTTTCTTTGAAAAGCAAGACAAAACAGTAAAAAGCACATTTTGGCTTTTTAATTTATGCAATGGTGAAAAAAAATTTGGCAAAATACATGGGGGAAAAAAAACGTGTTCGATATTCGGCCTACGGCCTAGTGTTTAATTTTGTTTGGTTTCGGCTTCGGCCAAGAATTTTAATTTAGGTGCATCCCTACTTGATGTCAAATAAAATAAATAAATTACACAAAGTTTAAATAAAGTAAAAATCAGCAAACACTGTGGAACCAATTAAATAAGAAACTAATGTTTAAAAAAACTTCCAAAATCACCTTAGATAAATGACAAAAGTCAACAGGCTTTTAAAAATCCAAAATACTGCCAAACAGGCACTTTGCATTTCGTTTCGAAACTAAATCATCTGCCATCGTCTTGTCTGTCTCACCCCACTCTTCTTGTCAGTCAGCTCGACTCACTGTCCTCACTGGATAAATGAAATCTGATCTGTGATGCGACTGTCGTTCGGCACGGTGCATTGAGCATCCACGTTCAGTTTTTAATGTCTGTTCTTTTACTGAACTAAATGATTTTTATTACTATAAAAAATCAAAACGACGGTGGGGGTCGGTGCCACGGTGGGTAAGTGACGTAACCGGTGTTACAGCTTAACAACGGTATCACCGTCAGCACCGTCTATCGTGGCAAGCCTAGTCTCCACGACAAGGCGGTGGCGGCAGCAACAATACTACAGAATATAACCAAATAAATAAGAAACGTAGAATGTTTATTAGCAAAATGAATAAGAAAGCTTGGAGGCACAGCATACACCTTGATGTTAGGGATGCACCGAATGTTCGGCAACCGAAATTATTCGGTTAAAATTATTATCAGATAATAAGCGAAAAGACCGAATAAATTGTACCGAACAATGATATGACGAGATCAAATAGCAACCAGCGCAGAGTGAGAGGCACGCACTCTTTATAATGCAACAAACATGTCAGCAGTGTGGAAGCATTAGTGGAGCCCGGGAAGTCACCTGCAGGAGAAAAAAAAAAACAATCCGTGGCGACGGATTGTTCT